CGTTTCTAATATTCATAGTTTATGGTGGAATAATGTACATAATATGTTGAATGATTGAATATTTTTTTTTACTTATGAACTTTGCCCTAAAATGAATGAAGATCTTGAAAATTGTTTTCATTCAAAGAAGAAGCAGTGATGTATACAATATTTTACAAAAAAATATATACTTTACGTCGTGTACCGATGCCACTGGTTGAAAAATTATAAAATCTACATCAGAAAATGTTCGTTGATGCTTGTGCCACATTTCATATGCATATACATGTTACGATGAAAAAAAAATTGCGACACTGCAGCTCAAAAATTGAGTTCATTTGAGCTTTATCTTAAATCCCCTGAGAATTCACACTCTGGAGGATCAGCATCTCATTCTAGAACACCCTGTATGATTTTATTTTTAGATGATAAATATAAACCATTATAATTGCAATGTATCAACTGGGTACTTGAAATGACTAACACACAGTTATCAATTGATTGATTTGACATTTAGCTTGCATTCAGTCAGATAATATTTTTATCAGGAATTATCGACTCAAGTGTTACTTTATTCCAATAACATCCTATATTTTCCAAATTCTTCAAAAAGAGTCATTTGCCTAGCTAAGCAAAGAAGTAACATTTGTGATGGAATCTGCCAATATTTGATTAAAATCCATAACGTATTCAAGAAACACGTCATTATTAGGGGCGTGTCTAGACACGTCTGAAGAAGATATTGTATGACGAAACAGGTCTTGCGAAACTGTTTAGTAAGAATCTCACAATAAATTGTTTCTAAAATTTTTGAATAAAGAAGTAACAGATATACTGCTGCATATCTACTATAAATGTCCACAACAATAGTTGAAATTATAGTTTCATCTACGTACATCATGATCCTTATATTATATTTTCATTGTGTTATATAGGCAACTCATATTACATAATCTGACAGACAATCGTACATTATGATTAAATTTGAACTGAATGGATTAAAATGAATATTATAAATGTCGAAGTTTTATCAAAAATTTGGCCTGCCAATCGAAAAAGCTAAGAATCTGAAAGCTTTATCCGTCTTCAGAATAAAAACCAGCCATAAATTGGTGTAGTTGTCTTCTCTGAAGTTCTTATTTATTTTCATTTTTGACGAATGTAGCAGTATTTCTATTTTCTCTTCTGTTTTCTTGTAGCTAAACTGATATTTCATATAATGTATGATTGGCTGAAGAGTCATAAAATTAAATTCAAAGTCATGTTACGGTGACAAATAGAAAGTGGGGATGAGTATCGCCGTTGCGTCGTCAACGTTTAGTTCAGGAACTAATCGCGATTTGAGTGTTGAAATTCGATATTGGTGCAGTTATAATTACTTAAAATGTTTGTTATCTGATTGAAATGTGGCGTCCTAGGACAATTACTAATAGTAATAACGAGTGTGATAACAACGCAGACAATTTCCTGTGTTGTGATTCCCACAGCGATTGTGAACAATGCGAATAAGTAAATAAGATGCAGATGCATTTGAATATTGAAACACAGAGAGAATGTTTAATGTATATGAGAATCTACATCTCAAGTTTGGTTTCGAGGGGAACAAGCAACATCAGATTTGGCCGAAATTCTTTTCTCGACTGTACGTAAAATAGCCAAAAACAAACCTTATGAACGCAAGACGCGATGTGATACGGGATTACCAAAACCTTTAGATTTTCATCTGATAAAATCATTGAAAAAAATAATATACGACTGTTACAAAAGCAATGAGATTCCTACAACTGAAATCATAAGGGAGAAATTGAATACTTTTGGCCATAACGTGAGCTGATCTGATTTAGATTTAAAATAATAAACAAACGTCAAGCAGTTACGGCAAGCAGAAGAATAGTGGAACTGCGTAACAAATACTTAGAACAAATAACTAAATATAGACAAGAACAACGGCAAAATTTCTATTTGGACGAAACTTGGTATGACACTCACGACACAGTTACGAAAGGGTAGACTGATGGTTCGAGAATGTGTACACCTAACATGCCTGCAAAGGATCGCGACTAATCATTGTGCATTGCGGAGGAAGTGAAGGATGGGTTACGAATTCTTCGAAATTATGTGGAAAAAACTTGAGGACTGCAATGTTGACTATCATAAGAACATGGAAGCTAATATTTTTGAGGAATGGTTTGAAAACACATTGATCCCAAATTTGGATGTAAATAGTGTAATAGTTCTTGACAACGCTTCCTATCATTCGCGACAGCTCACATCTGAGCATCTTCTTGTAGTAGTGATTAGAACTCAGAGCAACTATGTAACTGTATTTCAAGACCTAACCTAACTTTGTCAGAGTTCAGTCTTGGACCAAATAACATCTTCGACAGTTTTTTCTTTGTTTTCTAATCATATTTAAAATTGAATAGAATAACAAAAATAAGAAATATTCTTAAATGCTATAGGTATATTTAGATTAGTTCTTGTTAAGCAATTTATTGGTGTTACTCTTATTCAAGATATGCTTCAAAAATAAATGTCATTTCATAATATTCATGTTGTAAGTCATCGAAAAAGTATTGTACTCTACTTGCGAAAATGGCCATTACTTGTTTACAAATTTCATTCTTGAGAGTAATGGCCACATAATGTGTATCTCTTATTTTAATACAAGATACATAATAGTTGCATCAGATTCGCATTCGGCATCCGCAAATATGATCACATTAGTCCATCCTTTAAAGACTACGGCTAGGGTTCCCACCTCTCCCGGAATTCCGGGAGTCTCCCGGATTTATCTCAGTAAGAATCATAAAAGAAAATGGGGTATTGATCTCTAAGCATCTAGCTCACCTGTTCAATCAGTCTATCACAACCGGCAAATTTCCATCACTCTTGAAGACGGCCATTATTATTCCCATTCACAAAAGTAAAGAAACATCAGATGTGACTAACTATCGTCCTATCGCTCTTTTGAGTATTTTCTCGAAAATCTTTGAGAAATTAGTTAACGGGAGAACGGCTAACTTTCTGTTGAATTTTAAGATTCTTACTGACTGTCAGCACGGTTTTCGTAAAGGCAAGTCCACACAGTAAGCTGCCTGTAGTTTTACTGAAATCATCTGTAACTCCCTAGACAATGGTATGCACGTGGCAGGAATATTTTTTGACCTCTCACGTGCATTTGACTGTCTATCTTATGATTTTATTGAAACCAAACTTTTTAATCTAGGATTTAGGGGTGTATTTTTGCAATGGCTCAAACATTTTCCTTCACACCGTACAATGTTGGTAAAAATAAAAGATACACC